TAAACTATGCAAAATGTGCTATTTATGTAAAATATTTAATGAATTATTCATAAAATGTAATTTTAAGAAATCGATAACAAGATGAAACTTGGAAAAATAATTTTGATGACCATATCTTTTCTCTGGGCCTAATTATTAGTTCTATTCTTCTTCTTGCTATGTAATACAAATGAGTAGTGGTACAAAGTTATGGTGGAATCAAAACGTAATTTTCTATAAATTTTTGCAGGAGGAATGACTACAATTTTTATGCAGATTTTGTGAAATATTTTAGTAAAACATGAAGAAATAAAAGTAAATAATTTTCCAAATAAAAAACTAAAAACGCAAAGCAATATCAATTTCAAACACATATTCATAAAGTACGTACACTGTTTAAAATCTGCTTAGTTACGTAGCCAACACGGCAATAACCACTAAAATCTGGTATACATTCAATTAAATCTCTTGCCATAACGGGAGCCTGCTGGACAAAAGGACATGGACACGTCAATACGCCCCGCTGAACGATGGTCGTTTGAGTGGGGGGAAAGCAACTAAAGACAGCGAAACGTCTGCCGCCTTTACCTTTAATCTGGATATAGAATGGGCAGAAGAAATAGTAGAATCTGGTTTTTTTCAAGACTTGAGATGAAGAGTTTTTAGTTGAGGGTCTCGGCTACTAGGAAGGTTAAAAATATATTCTTATGTTTAAACCATACTATGCATTTTCAATACCATATTGGTGCATTTTATCTATTTTCTTTTGTGCACTTTTAGAACAATACTAAAAGCCCACTACCCAAAAGAGTTTTGTTTATATTTTTTAAGCATTCTACCTCTTCACTGGATTGGTGATGGTATTTTTGTCCATGCTATTTCTGTTAATTTCATCTCTGAAACCCCCTTTCGGGGGGAGGAAAGGAGAAGGAACTTCCTTATTAAAGAGGCCATTTTGAGAGGATTTACTGTATTTTAAATCTAAGATTTAAAGATATTTTTTTGTTAAAGTCATATCATTTGGCACTTTATCTATAACATATCTCATATCTTTAGCATATTTCCATGTTGCCAGTTTGGTTTGGCTTTTTCTTTGGTAGTAACTCCCTTTGTAAACATTGTTTGCATTATCACTTTTTTCATGTAATCTCTACACATAATAAAATAAAGAGTCTGTCTCTGTGTGTGTGTCTTTCGTTCGCGCTGCGCGTAAGCTAATAGACCCACGGCTAGCAATTTGGTACATAGGTACATCTAGACAAGAGCCAGTGCACCTCGAAGCGATTTTTTCGAAATTCGAATTCGAATTTTTTATTTTATGTTTTGGACGAAAATCGCGTCATTTTGAGACATAATGGGTAGGAAAGGATTTACTCTACACACTTCATTTTCACATCGTCATGAAACGTAAGCATTAGCTATTTACGAAATTAAATAAATTTGGTGTTTCGATAAATACATTAACAAAGATATTGTTAGCTTTTCAAAAGGATTTTTTTTATTATAAAAATTTTACGTTTATTTTTCTTTGACTTTTGGACACATTTTTTATCCTTGCCGACTGCTTTTACAAAAAAATTTTGGAAAAATGATAATATTTGTATTTTAAAAGATTTTTAAATGAAGATTCCGAGTACACTTATCACATCTCACTTCTTTCAAATGTGTTTTGGCAACAATTTCCCGTCTTAGTTGTTGATAGATTTTTGATGAAATCCATCGTTTGAATGGTCTTCTTTAGAAAATATGGTTGGCAACAATTTTTCATCTACTATGTAACTGTTTTTAAGAGATTGCAATTTCATGTCAGTTATATTATAATACATTTTTATTATTTTTTTTTTTTTTTTTTTTGTTAACGTTTGTGTGCAGGGTAAAATTCTGCCGCGGAATTTATGTTTTTGTGTTGCTTCATTTTTTTTTTGCTTATTTCACTGTTTGTTAAGATTGAAAAGTTTTGCATGATTTTTTCTTCAACGGAAAGTTGTAATTTTGGATTAATTAATATTTATATAAGGGGGATATAGAATTTCATCGAATTTTTCTCTTGGAAAATTAAGATAAATATCATTAATTTTTTGCTTTTCAGAATTTTTTTTGTGCAGTCTTTTCTGTTATTTATTGTCATTTTTTTTTAAGATATTGAAAAGTTTTGAGTGATTTTTTTAGGAAACTTTCTTAACCTCCTTTTATACCATTTGAGTACTTACGATTTGCAAAGGGTTGGTTGGATTTTGCAAAAGTTGGTTATTTATTATTATGATAATTAATAATTGTATTAATGTATTGCTTATTTCATTGTAATTTTTTAACGTAATAACTTTTTTTATGAAGGTTCTGCAGAGTAAAATCTGCCGAGTTTTAAATTTAACGCGGGTTCCCTTCAGCCATTTTTAAGACATTTAAAAGCAGATGAAGGCGGCAGCGAAGCTGCTAGTATGTAATAATTTCTCCTTACCCCCATGTTAGTGTACTGTCTGTTGGTATTGGTCTTTTCTTTAAATATTCCCCCCCCCCCAAAAAAAAAAGTTAATAATATGATGAGAGGCATGCTTTTTTTGCCATGTTGTCTGAGTCTGCAATAAAAAAACGGCGGTAAAGTTGTACAATTGGGTGCTCCTTGTTTTTTGGTGATTCTTTTTCGATGTCAAGATCAGCACCAGGAAGGCACAATTTCAAGATGTCTGCTACACAAAACCAAAATAAAAATTCAAAGAATTGCAGAAACTCTGTGTCCATCAATCTGTTTTCACTAAAAAAAAAATCTCAGAATTGCGCAAATTAGGCATTGCGCACTGCCTTAAATTTGTCCATGTACACATCAATCTATTTTCATAAAAAAAAAAAAAAAAAAAAAAAAAAAAAAACTGTCGCTAATCGAAGGGGCACCCAATTCTACACTAGAGCCAAAATGCCAACAGTATAAAGTGTTCAGGTTGCTATCATCATTATCAGCTATGCCATTTTAAACTATCACATGTTAAAACTACAGACATGTTAACTATCACATGTTTAAACTATCACAATTATACTATTCATATAATTTTATTTACTTATAATTGCTAATTATGATTATTAGTTGGGTGTTAATATTTATTATTTTTTCCTAGGACTGGTTTTCTTATCTTTTTTTTTAAAATAACTATATGTATATGGGTTATGATAAATTACAAATTAAAACATTTATTTGCAATGTTCAAAAGCTCTTCTGTGAGCAGAGAGTTTTCAAGTGACAATGAGTTGATGTTTTCATATAATGATTTAACTATTACTTTGTGGAACTTTAGATTTTCTCCCATTTAAGTTTATTTCAAGCCTTTTTCAAGGTCACACATTTTGGATGCAATTCTTTCCTTTTCCTTAACTAATAAAGATGGATGTAGACTTTCATGAGGTATTACTAATCACTTGCTATCTTTATTAGCTTTAAAATATCATCCTGTGTTTCGGAAATGGAGTGTTCTTTTATGTTGTTTTACATCCGAGCATATGATTTTGCTATACCAGATTATGAACCATTCCCATATTTGTTTAAATTCAGAAATTTATCATGTAATATGTGATTTGGTTACTATATATGAAGATAATATGCTTTCATGCTATTTTTTTTTTTTTTTTTTTTCATTTTCAGGTAAATCATATTTTTCACCATGCCATCTGTTTTTCTCGATAGACTTCCTCTGCCAAGCTTACAAGCTTATGCAACAATAAGTGTATTACTTTTTTCATGTTCAATTTATTATGCCATACAAGTAACTTCAGAACCTGGCTGGAGCATGAATAATACTCAAAATGTTAATTCTTCAGATGGAGAACTTGGAAATGAAACAGAATCTATGGAAAATATAAGAACACTTCTTCATAAAATGCTTTTAAATAATGTTATTACAAAAAGACTGTATGAAATAATATTCTTCATAATTGAGGAACCATTGTGTATTTGGGTAAGTAGTTGATTTAGTATGCAACTCTTCAAAGTTACCAGTTTCTTTTTTGCTTGTATATGAGAAATGAGATTCTCCTTTTAGTGAATCTGGGTTGTGGCTTTTTGTAAAGTGATCTTGAAATCATTTGTTTTTGTAAGAATTGGCATTTTCAGCTTAATGATTAATATGTAACAGAATCTTGATCTATATACTTAACCCTTGAATGATGTAGAGGCTTTAAACATTGCTGAGGTTGTCAGAAATTTGCATATGACCTTTTGACTGCATTAGCTATTAACAGTCTGTTGTTAAAAAGAAGTCTATAACCAGACAACTAATATGTATTTTGTGTGTTTATGTACAATATTATAAATTACCGCATAATCACAGTAAAGCAAATAAAAAGGAAGGCAGTATTATTATAAAAGAATGAGTATTACGATTCGTATCACGAGAGCAATTGTTAAAAATTTTATCAACTTTGTACTATTAAAATTTTTTGATCATTAAATAGATAAGTGAAAGTTCACTTACCTTCTAAATAGGGCTGCCCTGAACTGCCTGCCTTTCCTTCCTGTCGGTATCCGTCTCTATGATGAACTTCGATTCACTGCGAAACACAGCTATAAACTTTTTAAGAAATTTTAATTCATATGAAAGATATCTACAAAATATTTACAAGTTATAATGAATACAAGCATAATTTATACGGAGACGGTCTATCGTTTCAACATCTGTTAGACGCGTGAGCCGTTCAACTGACTACTTTTAGTCTCTTTCGGCAGAGGGCGTTCGTGGAAGTAAAGTTCTAGTAAGCAAACGCGACAATTATAAATTACTGCATAATCACAGTAAAGCAAATAAAAAGGAAGGCAGTATTTTATAAAAGAATGAGTATTACGATTCGTATCACGAGAGCAATATCTGAGAGTGACCATGTGATAGAGTTATATAAAAAAATAGTATTACGAGTATTACGATTCGTATCACGAGAGCAATATCTGAGAGTGACCATGTGATAGAGTTATATAAAAAAATAGAAAATTAGAGCAGTTTCCTTATTCAGCATTCACTATCTCAGTTTTGGTGGAAAGCACCTCAGTGAGCAAAATCTTGTTGATACCACCAGCCTTTTAAGAGGACTTCTGGGTTAATAGATTTTAAGTGACCTATTCTGCAAGGCTGCTTCCATCACAAACCATCATACATTGCATAAGGTTTGAACTTCATTCCACTACTATATGCTATAAATTGTTATACTTTTCAGTGATAATTATTATATTGTTTACAGCAACTGAAAATTTTGCGGAGGAAACTAAGTATTAAGAAAGAAATTTTTTTCACATACGAGTTCTATTAATAAATATATGTAAGTTATCCATACATGTTGGTAGTGCCTGAAATATGACAATTTCGAAGTCTTGTAATGTTTTTATTTGACTACAAAATACAGAGGTTGCTTACACATTTTTAGAGTAATTTCTAAAAAGAATTAAATATATATATATATATATTTTTTTGGAATAAAAATTCCTGACATCTTTTTTGAAATGAGGAATATTATTAGGTACTTTTAAATTTATTCTTTCAAAATGTGACATCAAACGAATGAGACTTAAACAAATGCGAATGAGACTTGAACAAAACAACCTATCATCTCTGGTGCTTCAGAAGCATATTGGAACTTAAATACTGTGTATTAACTGGATTAACCTCCAGCAAATCTACATGAAACTATGACACTAACTGCATCGGACAAAGAGCAGCTGATTTTCAACATTTACCAACCATATCAATAATAGGCATTCACGCCTGCTCTGATCAGCAGCTCTGTAAGGAAGCACCTATGGTGGCAACAGCCAGACCTTTTTTATGAGTCATGCTGATTATTATTTTACTTCACAATTAAACTTATGCCACTTCACATAAAATTTGCATATATCTCTGGACTGAGTGAGTATGTGATGAAATGAGGCATAAAAGATAGAATCAGTATAAAGCTACCTGTTGGTGAAATATAAATAAGAAGCCACTAATCTTCTTTAAAATATGTGGTACTATTATAAGTGTAAAATATAAAGAAATTAATTTCAAGAAATTTTATGATTTAATGCTAATTATTTGAAAGAATTTATGAAGTTAATATTATTTTTGAATTTGTTTTAAAATTAAGTGCAAGATTATGTTTAATAATAATACATCCTACGTAGGATTTATTGTATTCTTACAAATTACAAAAGTGGTATTACAAAAGAAGTTCGGGTATAGATAGTTGCTTTAGTTTATTCGATTCCTATTTGCTTGATAGGTCCATAATTTTTTTCCTTGTTGGTCCGTAAAATGATTTTCCACTTGTAGAAGTGGGTGTGAACCCTGTATAAACTATTCTTATAATTAAAAATTGTGATTCTTTTATATTAAACACACCTGATTGGCGAGTATAGTCACATTTTAGTTTCTGGCAGAAAATGTTTGCTGTATTCTTTAGAACGACATCTGACATATCATTTGCATTATATCTTCTCCTGCAGAGAAACTAGCTAGGCAGGACTTGAAGTGGTGGCTTGCTGTTCCATGGTGCTTTTTATTTCGCCATTTAGCACTTCCCCACATACATTCTATGTTTTGCATGTGTGTACCAGTTTCAGGATCGATGAAATTATGTTTGTGATTTACAACAGATATATCCAAATTATTTAAATTCTTTTGTTTTATAACTCTTCTAACAGTCAGAAAGAAATATCTGTTTCTTCTGTAATGTTCTTTTTAATTTTAATAATTAGTGTAGTGCCACTACAATTGGGGACCATTGGAAGAAATGTTCTGCTCATTTTGTTTGCTCGTATTATGTGAAGTGCTCCCCAAAATCCACTGTGGAGGCAACATTCTTCCAGTATTATTTTTGCATTGCATGAACATGCTTTCATTATTCTGCATAATGTAGTTGCTGCCGTCAATTTTCTCCTTTTCTCCTGCCTCCATTTCAAGAATGCAGATCTCCTGGATGTAATTGTTTCGATCCTCTGCCATTTTGTTGACCATTCCTAGACGGTTTTTGCAGAACTTCGCCAATGTTAGTTCTTTGCACTCGAAATATATGAAATGTAAAGCTGTTGCGGATGCTATTCGACTTCCTTCGAACCAGTTTCCTACATGCATTAACATGCATAAATGCCTTTTTCGGCATGATGGATGTTAAGCTTCCAAAAAATGCCATTTTCATTAATGTATAGTTTCATGAAGTGCTAAAGTTCACATTCTTGGTTTTCCAGTAGTATGCTATAATTCTGCAAATAACAGATTGCCTGCTTCATTTTGAGGTAAGCTCCAGAGATCCTTATAAATTAAAAGTAAGGTACAAATGTTTTTGACTTAAATTCTAAGCGAATAGATAGCTGTCTAAGAAAAAACTATCTAATAAAACCACTTGCAAATATGGAAATATTCAGAATAGCTTAGTTGCCATAAACAATTTGGCGATTAATTGTTGAGGTGTGGTTAACACTAAAAAATATTAGTGATTGTTGGTGTCAGGGATTGTTGATGACTGCTGGTCTCAATGATTGCTCACCGAGTCAGTGCAAAGTATGGCAGTATAGTTACTAAGTGACGCTTTTGAAATTGCTCATGGCTATTTCTGGTTATCCCCACAGCAGTTAATAATTTATTATTGACTTCCCTTGTATTTAATAGAATGTTATCTTACATATATTTTCTGTTTATGTTAGACATATTAAATTTTTTAATAAAAATAGTACATTGGGTATCTCTTGCATATGTTCATGTTTGATAATGCACTGCACATTCTTGCTGGCTAAATTGATTTAGTCTTATAAAAAATCACTGAAGTGGAATACCTGTGAAGATTTCACTCCTATGTAAATTATCTTTTTATTAATTGAAAAGTATGCCAATAGTTTTGTTATGTCATTTTTCCCCCCCAATAAATGTTCTTTTCCTTTCAGACTTTGGTGAACATGGTTTACTGTTTAATGATTTTAGTTGGCAAGTGCATTCAGAAGTTTGTGTTTGGAGATTTGAGAGTTGTAGAGCAGCAAGTGAGTGATCTTTTCAGTTAAACAATGAACACATTTATTACAAATAGTTTTAAAAAAAAATTATTGTACCTTAATGTGGGTTATGAATTTTTTTTATATCTGTAAAATTTGTAATATTGCCAAATTTTTAATTTTTAATTTGTATATTTAAACAAAAATGGTTTGAAAAGAGGTTTCTGAAAAGAATTTGCTTTTTTCTTGCATTCTAAGATTATATTGGCATAGAAATATTATGATCATTGATAGTTAACTTTAAACAATTTAATTGACGGCCTACTAATCTGAAATTTAAGAGTAATTATGTTTTTTAAAAGTGACTAATTAGATCACCTAGACAAAATTTATTTTAAACATCTTTACATTTGATTATTTGTTATTTAAATCTAATTAATATAAAATGTCAGCAACTAAAACACTTTTTGCTTTTTAAAGGAAGGAAAAAAATTGCCCTCTTCCAGACAATAATAATAACAGAAGTTTCATATCTTAAGATCATTTGCAGTAGAAGATACTTTCTCAATATTGCATTGTACGGAAGTTTTTCTGAGAAGTTTAAGAATCTTTGCTTGCAATAATTAATATTGTCTTTATATTACTACACTGAAAATCAAGTGTTTTAATAAGTATAAACTTTTAGAAAAATCTATGGATACTTATATTTATTTCTCTCCTGCATCCAGCATATCAAAGATAAGTTTTGGAACTTTGTGTTTTACAAGTTCATTTTTATATTTGGAGTCATGAATGTCCAATACATGGATGAAGTAGTCATGTGGTGTGGATGGTTCTCAATTGTGGGTGCTTTTCATCTGTTATCTCAGCTATGCAAAGACAGATTTGAATATGTAAGTTTTCTGAGTTTCATTTACATTTTAAAATTCACATTTAAAATTTTTAATTGGAGATTTAAGTTGGAATGTGATTATATTTGTTAACATGGTAATTAACTGTACATTAAAACAAGATTTGCATCATAAGTGTGTTATGAATCTTTACTATAACTGCCAGAGTTATCTGAGACTTCAGTGAATAAAATTTTCTTGGAACCTTTTCCCTGCATTTAAACCTGCCAATTTATCTGTCAGTTTCAGTTAATGATTTGTAATTTTCTTCAATATATGAAAGAGAGACGTGCCAGTATCTGAACTTGCTCCTTGAAGAGTTGAGACTCAAGTGTTTTTTCAATTATTATAGGAATTTTCTGTGAAACAGATATCAATAAAGGGGATATTTGAATAATTTTAAAATTAATTGTGCATTGTGTAACAACATGTGGGTGTGTCCTCAACAGATAAAGAAAAGTGGAGGTTATAATATGTGCACAAATTATATATATATATAACTGCTTTAAATGAAGGAAAATTTAAATCACTTGGAATTAACTGTTTAACCTTCTGAATGTCACAGCTTTTCAGATCTGCTTCATTTAAACAGTATTTGTTTGTGATTAGTTAATTATTTTACTCTGTTTTCATAATCTTTCATTTATTAAAATAATATTGAGAGTATTTAAGAAAGTAAAATATTTCAAATAAGATAATTTATACCAAATGACAACAACAACAACCCTCATGATTTGATAAAGGCGGCCATGGTTATTCAGGAGGCTAATGAAATCATTAAGAATGTATTTAATCATGCAATGTTTGAATAGATGATTTTACGCATCTCTATGTTGAATTTTGGATTCCTTTAGCATTTAGATGTCTTTCATTCTGTCATTTGGAAAATAAATTAAGGAAAAAAGGGAGGAATTTCGATATCTTTATGTAATCCAAGTTTTAGTTTAGAATGAAAAGGGAAAGACTTTGCTTTTGAAACAGTACTTTGAGATGCGTCTTAACGTGAAGTATTAATTATTATGCTTCAGTGAATACCTCGTATTGTGCAACTCACTGTTGTGGACAGTTTTCTGCAATGTTGAAAATTTGCTTTTAAAAGTTGCCATGTGAATTTTTTCTTTTAAAAAGGAAAGAAATAAAACTTTTCAAATATTTGGTACTTTTGATTAACCCTCCAAGTGTTATGGATGTAAAATTCCATATCGAAGTATGGCTTTCTGTTACTCGTGAAAATTTCTTACAAATCTTAATAGATCCGATATCAGGTTGGATGTATATAGAAAGAAAAAAGTCCATGTACGAAGTGAAAGAGTCATTTGGAATTATTATCAAGAATAATTCCAAATGACTCATTTATTCATTTTTGGGGGAACTTTAAAATTTCGCAGCTAAATGTATAAAGCTCAAAGCTGCGTATGATATTCTGAGTAATATTGTAAATACATGTAAATAATTTGTGTTAAGTATTAGACATAAATAGTGTTTTCCCACATTTTATGAAATTTCTAATATGTATTTTCAATTTAAGATGTGATTTTGCTGCTTGTATATATTTTTTTAATTAAAAATTTTTATTTTTTGATATTTACAAAAATCAAATCGTTTAATTTTCAAATCTCTCTCTTGCTATTGTATGCACATAAATACTTGTTAATGTATTACAAGTTACTTAAAATTTTAGAATTATAAATATACAATCTATCATTTTGTATGTGAACCCTGAATATGAATAATACTGTTTAGCTTTTGTGATGTGTTCTATAATCTTCAATGAATAATTCTGTCTCATATTTATTATTTGCATACAATAAACCTTTGAACACATGTTTATTCTAAATAAGTGAATATTTGAAATTTGCTTTTTCCTCCTCAGCTTTCTTTCTCCCCTACTACTCCTAAATGGACTCATCTACGATTATTTGCTTTGATATTCTTCATCCTTGCAGTTTCTGTTAGTTTGTGTATAATAGTAGGTTTTTATGCAAGCTTAAACACATTCTTTTTCATGGCATCAGAGGTAAGAAACATTAAATTTTCTTTTATTTTAAGGTGTTTTATGTATTTTATGAATGTAATTCTTAAAATTGTTCCCAAAATTATTCATGCTTGATGTTAGACTTGTTTTAAAAAGTTAGATTATAAATACGCAAATTCACATTTAAAATTTTTGCATGTCTTCTATTATAATTAATTTCATTTTAATAAATTAGCACACTAATAAATTGATGTATAAATTTTTATTTTAATAATTGCTTTTGTCTTATATTTGGTTGATTCTGCACTTTGTCACTTTAATTTAAAATACTATGTAATTATAATATAATGAAGCTTATATGTTTTATGTATGACATATTATTTAATAGAGTTAGGATTCAAAATAATGAAAATGTAAAAATAAAGCTACATGTCTTAAATGTTTTTTTTTTTTTTTTTTTTTTTTTTTATGAGGCTTTTTGGAAGCTGTTTTATCTTATACATGTATATATGGGACAAAAAAATTTCAATTCTCAACTGTGAGTTAGCAAGAAATGCATAAGTACATGATCAGGTTGATATGATAGCAATTGTTAGTTGTTTAGTTATGACAAAGGTCCAATTTCGTATAAGTCGTAGTTTTATTTGCTTAGTTTTCTATATTTATCTTTTTTACTTTTTGCTTACTAATTTTTCTTTATTGATTAAACTGGTTTAAAAATGAACAGATATAAGTTCTATAGGAAAATTCTGTCCATTTGGGAAGTGAAAAATAATTCATTTTTCATACCTTTAATAATATTTAATATACAGTATAATTTCTTTTATACCTTATGCCAGTATGTATGGTATATAAAAGTTTTAAAAAGTTCCTTGTCCTTAGAGAGAAAGAAGTAGTGTTTGGCTGACATCTGCTTCAGTTTTGAATTTTTCCCTATTCAAAAAAAAAAAAAAAAAAAAAAAAAAAAACTTTGTGAGGAGAGAAACTAGTGATAATTATGGGGTTCTAGGTTTTGGGAATATGGTGGATGTGATTGAATTTCTCAGCCCAGCTCTACAATTTTCCAATGAGTTGCTGAAGCAACATGTGGTTTGGCATTATAATGATGCAGTGTGATGTGCTTTCTATTGAACATTGTTGGCTTTTTTTCTTTGACTGTTTTGTTTAAGTCATCCATTAGCTGACAGTATCTTTCTGAACTGATCTTTTCATTAGGTTTCCAAAGTGCTCGTAATGTGTTGGTCCTCGGACGTCCCATCATATAACATAATATTCTGTTGTTTCAGGCTTAAGCTTGGTTTAGGGGTGGAGGTAAAGGTTATTGATGCTCAAGCTTGGTTTAGATTTATGAATATAATATGAAATGATTTGTTGAGATGAGTTAAGCTTTTCCACCCACTTTGGATAGTGGTTAGCGACGCTGACTGCTATACGAAAGAGCCCGAGTTCGAATCCTGGAGAAGACATGGTTATTTATAAATGTATATAGTGTATATGCAGCATGGGAGCATTCTAAATATGTGATGAGCCGAAAGTCTTCTTGAGAGTTCAGTGGGAGACCCTTGGACCCATCTCTTCATTAAAATTGGGGGAGAACTGAGTAAAGTCATACTGTGTTCAGGATTCTTGCCAATGGCAGATGCAGTCTTGCACTCCTTGAAAATGAATTTCACGAACTTGTTCTGTTGCTATTGTCAGATGAGTGAGATAAGCCGTAACACCAACAAGATACTTTTCCACTCTATCTGATGTTGTCAAAAAGGATCTTGCTCCATCATTGTCTTGACAAGATTGCCATTGATTGGCGGCCTAGAACTTGGTTTGTCATTAAGGTCAAAATTACCTGCTTTAAAATTTTCTAACAATCTTTTAGATATTCTATCTGAAACTGCATTTTATTGAAAGATTTTCACTAAATTTCAATACGTTTCTGTGGTACATTTTCCTTGTTGATATTTGTACAAATTACAGTGTCATAAATGAACTTTATAGAAGGCCATTCTTACATGAGCCCTTCTCACTTAAAAATGATACGAGACACTTTTGTTTCAGTTGATTTATAACAGTATGTGCAAAAATGTAATGATAAAGGGTGACAGCCACACATGTCTTAAATGAACGTGTGCATGCATGTTTAAACTTGGATTATCAGACTGAACTTTCAAGTAGACCTGTATATTAGAGAATTTTTATATATCTATACATATAATAAAAGAAAGAGTATGTCTGTGTGTGTGTCAGTGTTCCTTTCGTTCGCATTGCGTGTAAACTAATAGACCCACAGCTACGAAATTTGGTACATAGGTGCATCTAGACAAGAGCCAGTGTACCTTGAAGCGATTTTTTTCGAAATTCAAATTATAATTTTTTAAATTTTATGTTTTTTGATGAAATTGCATCATTTTGAGACATAATGGGCTATAGGAAAGTGAGATTTTACTCTACACACTCCATTTTCGCATTGTCATGAAACGTAGGCACTTAGCTATTTTATGAACTTAAAATAAATTTCATGTTTCAATAAATTGATTAAATACGAATTTATTTAACAAAGTGAGCTTAATACCTTTTCAACAGGATTTTTTCTAAAAAAATTTATTTTTAAAAATGTACAGTTTATTTTCCTTTGATTTTTGGACACATTAAACTTTCATCCTTGCGACTGCTTTTACAAAATGAATTTTGCAAAAACTATAATATTTTGTATTTTAAAAAAAATTTTAAATGAAGCTTCTGAGTACACTTCTCGCATCTCACATCTTTAAAAATGTGATTTTGGCAACAGTTTTCCTTTCTTATTGTTGTTGATAGATTTTTGATGAAATTGCATCATTTTGAATAGTTTCATTCTTTTAGAAATATGGGTTTGGCAACAATTTTTCATCATATTTCTTATGCCACTGTTTTTAAGAGATTGGCATATTTCATTGTCATTTTTTATATATATATATAATACATTTTTATTGATTTTTTTTGATAAAGTTGTTCTGCAGTGTAAAATTCTGCGTGGAATTTTTTGTTTTGAGTTTCGTTCATGTTATTTTTTGCTTATTTCAGTATTTTTAAGATATTGAAAAGTTTTGCATGATTTTTTTTTCTTCAACGAAAAGTTGGTTAATTTTTTATTGGGATAATTAATATTTGTATTAAGGGATATAACTTATTGTAATTTTTGGTTAATCTTCGGATTATGGTAACTTGGCGATTTTTTGGCGAAAATTTGGCGACCAACCCTGCTACAGCAACCCGCTAGTTTTCTTTTGAACGCCATTTTGTTTTCACGAAGTAAAGGCATTTTTTTTTTTTTTTTTACTCAACATTTTTTCCAACAATCTGCTAGCCGAATTACGCTTATGCTAGAACTTTTATGGAACAAAAGTGCTTAATCATGACGAAGATTAGGTGCGAAATTGGGAGAAAGTGCAGAATCGCCCACTGCTTGCCACGTTTTTAAGAATTGCACATACACGGTATCATCCATGTACACGTCGACCCATTTTCACTTAAAAAAACATCCCAGATTTGCACAAAATTGGCATTGCACACACTCTTGACTTTATCCATGTACACTGCTAAAGTCCTAGCTAGTAACCTTTATCGCCTTACCAAAATGTTGCCAAACTACCTGTTACCATATTGCAAAGATTAGCCTAATTTTTTTTTCTCTTGAAAATATAAGATAAAGTATCATTAATTATACTTTGCTTTTCAGAATTTTTTGAATTCTTTTTTGTTATTTATTGCTCATTTCACTGTCTTTAAGATATTGAAAAGTTTTGAGTGATTTTTAGGAAACAAAGTCCTTAACCTCCTTTATGCCATTTGAGTTCTTGAGATTTTGCAAAGGGAAGTTGGTTAATTTATTTATTAGGATAATTAATATTTGTATTAAAGGATATTGCTTATTTCATTGTAGTTTTGTTATACGTAATAACTTTTTTTTTATGAAATTGTTCTGCAGAGTAAAATTCTAAGCAGTTTTTAAATTTAACATTTGGTGTTCCCTTCAGACATTTTTCCGGTACATTTAAAAGCCAGACGAAGGCTGGTAGCGAAGCTGCTAGTATATATACATATTTTTTTACTATGTATTTAAATATTTTCCACCTTGTTTTAACACTAAATAATAATTTTTATTTTTTCTTTTTAAAATTTTGCAGTGGACCTTAGTAATTCTTAGGACGTTATATGTTTTAATGAGGTTTGTATAAATGCTTTATTATCTCTCCCTTATTTCATTGATGCTGTTAATATATGTGCTATAGTAAGATGTTTTCTATTTCTACACAGGTGTATATATATAAATTAAGAAATTTAGAACTAATTTTTCAGAAAGACCAAAAATTTTAATTCATAATTAATAAATTTCAAATAATCCTATAAATGCAATAAAGAATTTAAAAAATATTAAAACCAAAACTTTTCAAACAAGTAATACTCCAATTCAAAAATATTAATGAAATTTAAAGAATAATGAGGAATTCAATCAACTTCTATGCCACTTAGTCAGGAGGAGGAACATTGAAATCAATGTACATTGAAATTGTTCATTGGCTAATTCTGAGTACAGGCATGGATTTTTGTGGAAGAGAGATTTCAATTGATTTCAGTGTTCCTCCTCCTGAGTAAGTGGCATTGAAAGTTGATTGAATTCCTCATTATTCCTTAAATTTCATTAATTTTTTTTATTGGAGTTGTGCTTGTTTGAAAAGTTTTAGTTTTAACATTTTAACATTAAAATTCTTTATTGCATTTATAAGATATTTTGAAATGTATTAATTATGAATTTCAATTTTTGGTCTTTCTGAAAAATTAGTTCTAAATTTCTTACTTTATGTCTTTACTGATAATTTTTCAGCTGTTTAATGCGCAAAAATACTAGGCATGTTTTTATTTTGTTTAAAAAATTATTTTGTAATTACACACACACACACACACACATATATATATATATATTTTTTTTTTTCAAAATAAAGTGATTAAAAATACATTTTGAAGGCAAGTTTGTGAATTTTAACTTACTAGTTTGATCTTTAAATTTCTAATAAACTACTTATTTTAAACTTTAATTTGTTCATTTTTAAACTTTTTAATGATTTTGAATTAACTTTTAATATTCAAATGCACTTTTGTTTTTGAGTTTGAAAATTAGTGTAGGGGTATGTCTTATAAAGTAAGCATCTTGTTCAGATTAATTGTGTTCTTAATGAGAAAATTTAAGTTTAAGATTATTTGCTGTTTATTTTGTGTAACAGGATTTTTTTGGTCTTAAATAGAGTAATGTCTTTATTTGGATTGAGTATTAATTGTGATTTATGATTTGGATTTAGCAAATAATAATTTGATGCTTACTTAGAAGTAAGATGAAACACTCGTTCTTAATTTAGTAGTTGTTAATTGATGGTAGATTGGTTTATCCCCTTGATAAGTCGACTAATCTGTGATCATTGACAATAGCTACTTTCTCAATAATTATAGAATGTTTAATTTTGGTTTTGGTATTTTTGCAATTACAGATTTTTCTTTGCAGATTTTTGTGTTTTTAAGAAAGGAGATTGAAAATACTATTTAAACTACTAATTAGAATTCTGACTTTTAAATTTTTTTTTTTATTTCATTCGTGGTTTTAAATTGAATTTGTGTTCCTTGGAGATGATATATGGAAAGTTTTCTTATTATAAATTATTATGAATTATATAAATATTTTTGCTCATTTTGTATTATAATTCTTCTCCTTTTCTGTTATTTCCTTGTATATAGTAAAGGAAGTATTGTAATAGCAAAACATTTTGTGTATCATATTTCAACAAAAATATTCATTTGACCAGTTTCGAAACCATTTAAGCAATGTTTTGCATGACATCTATATGTGCGAACCAAATAAAGGACTGTATTTTCCTAAATTGACTGTAAAATTGATACAGAAGGAATTATTTTCTTGATGTCTGTAACGTACATATGTATCTCGCGTAACTCAAAAACAAGTATCCTCGGAACATTGAAAGTAGTATATGGAACTCTTATAAACATGTTGTTTTGCATCTCTCTTTTTGGTAACAATTGGCCACATCAAAAGTATATATATGTAAGATAAAATTATATGAATCAGAATTATAATATAACTATAAACATTAATTCTTCCTCTCTATTCTAAAATCGTAGTAACTTCTCTGCATTGCGTCATTCAAATTAATCATGCAATCTTACGTAACCGTTAATACCAGATGCCTCTTGACGACCAATCACCGAATTGCAAACAAAAACTTTTCTCTTCGCGTGCTTCCATCTTGCATAGCTACGCACTTCAGCTTTTGCTCTCTACTGTGCTAACATGTAATTTCGCTGGCTTGCTTTCGATCCCAACAATATCAAAAGTGTAAATCTTCTGTGGAAAGACACGACTAGAGTGCCAAGTGATTGTGGCCACAAATATCCATTGGAAATAAAAATGGAATTAAAACTGCCTAGACTGCCAAGTTTTTTAAATACTACGCAATCAAAATTCTTCTTCAATATGGATCTAAGCACGCATGACAGTGTTCCGTCTTTTCCTTGTGCTTTTATTATGACACACACACACACACATATATATATATATGTAGTATTTTAATTATGTAGGAGAAATCCGGGACTTTTAGCAGTTTTTGATATTCATCATAGCTGAGAAGTCAGTAGTGGCTGAGGGTAAAGGTATGATGACATGGTTAACACAACTGAGCTTGCAGTATCGTAGTCTTTATTTTCATGCATATCAAACCATTTTGGTAGACATTTATCCAGTCATCGTTAAATATGATATTTTTGAATTACACTGGTTTTAAAAGTAAGACGTAGGCATCTTAGACTGGGAAACAAAGTAACATGGACGTTGGCATGGCGGAAGCTAGAAAAAGGAACGGCGTAGTTGTTTTGCAAAGCAGTATTTATACTGAGTAGATGCATAAGTATATTTAAGCTGCTATTGGTTAATTTTAGGTTGTTACATAACATGGAAAAATCTCGAAATTTGGGTGAACAGATGAATTTGGGGGGGACACAAAATCTAGAGTAGTTAATTTTGTGGTTGCATGTCGTTTCTTAAAGCAGCCATCATATTTTATTACATATATAATACCCACTGTGTTATCTAGCCCAGCGAGCTCATTTTTTTTTTTTTTTTTAATTCCTGTATGTTGGTAAATTGTGCATTTTTGTGCTTTAAAAGTGACTGAAATGTGTTGTTCTTATGTTGTGGTTACGGTTTTTATGCCTTTAGTTAATCTGCGTGCAATAGTTGTAGAATTACCAACAATTAAAATATTTAAATGATGTTAAGCCTAATGAGGCCACCATTTGTTTACATATGAAATTCTTAGTAGAATAGTGAATTAAGTTGGTTTGCAAACCAACTTCAGTGTCTATTTGCACAGTGGGACAAAAATAAACTTTCAGTTTTGTGCATTGGAAAATCTGTCTTCCTGCCCACTGGCTTGAATTGCTTGTTTTTGCACTAATTTTAATTGTAAAATTGGTTTTTAAACCGTTTTTGGTGTTTTGTATTTTACAATATTTAGTGAAGCTTTTTTTGAGTTTTTATGTATTTTTGCCTTGCCATAAAATGAGAACTGAATAAGAAATATATCTCTGATGAAATTCAAGGAAATAAGTATAAATGAAATGCAGGAAAAAGTGTGTATAAATTTAATAGGTCTTACAAGGAAGTCATGTGGTATCCACTTCAGATATTTTCGGACTCAAGCCAAGTATAAAATTTTTGCCAGTTCATCTGAAAAGCATCTCTTTTAATTTTAATGTCTAAGTAAAATTTTCTGCTTCTTTGCTTTTTTGTACCGCAATTACAGGTTTTGATTTTAGCTATCTTATTTTTTGCAATCTCAGAAGCATTCTCTGATAAATAAATACCAGAAGGCAAAAAAGACTGGTGTCGGATTAGTATATTTAACATAGAATTTGCTTTTGCATGCACGTAATGTTTTACCCTTTTACAACATTGTCATAGTTTCCTAAAATTAGAGTTCTGATTCTTCTGACTCCCTTTTCAGGTCATTTATTTTAGCTTTCATGTTTTTTTTTGTTAACAGTATAAATGTTTTCAGTAACTAAACTTTCTTTACATTTTTACTTTTTTTGCATTTTGATCTGATACTGAAGTGTGCTTTCATGAACGGTGTATGTTTTTATTTGAAATATAGTATATAGTTAATTATTATAATTCTTGACACAGATGAAGCATGGGTTAGTCTAAATCTGCAAATTAGAAGCAGGGCATTTTCAAATTGAAGTATATAGACACCTGATTATCTAAATAGATGATATTTAGGCTAGGAAATATTTCTAGAGAATAAGAATAGTAAACAAAAAGATAGGATAAAACACTTAACAAGCCAAGAAAATCATTATTTACTTTTAAATGCTTACTGCAGCACAGAACCAACTATCACTTTTTAAAGCGTTCCTCTGTTTCTGCATCACTGATATCAAAAGAGGATTCTTAATTTAAGAAAACCAATAGTATACACTTCATTTAATTCCTGTTATAGAAACATCCTTAACTCGTCAGATGCTATCAGAGCAGTTTAGAAGACCTAAGATCAGGTGACTTATGTGCTTTTTTAATGACAAATCAGTATTCAGATAATCTCAACATTTTAATTAAATGTAAAAAGTCCTCATTAGATTTTACTAATTTTTATCATATTTTAATTATCTTCATTTCAGAGAGAAGTATTTAAATAGGTCAGTACGTATATATTTATATATTATAGTTCTTTCAAGATTAATATGATACAATTATTTAGTGTTTATGTTTTTCCCCTTTTGTTCAGTTAATTTGTCATTCATTTATTTATTTAAAATATAAACTAAAAATAAGCAAGTTATGAAATTTTATAACTTTTCAGAGAAACTTTTCCAAATAGGACAAAATATGAAGATAAATAATGACAACCAAATTTCTGTCTCATTTATTAAATTTTTTTGGTGCATGAATAAAAATACATATGTTGTTTGTAAATAAGTAAGTCTCTTGTTTCTTACTACAGCTTAACACTTGATAGTATTAGATTCTGATTACTTTTGTAGCCTTGGAGAGAAATTATTGAAAATTAACATGGATTTTAGATGCTCATCAATCAATTGTGTTCTATTCTGCAAATTTTCAACTGTGTGTGTGTGTTAGTGAAATTTGTACATTGAAACCTTTGAATAGGGTTTATATTGTAAATTAATTAAATGCATTCAGAGATTTTTCTGCCTTGTTGTTCATGTTTGTTTTTAATGAAATAAAAATAATATAAACTCAGAACTTAATAGCTAAAACCTTGAAATCTTTGTAAGACCATATTTGCAACAACTATATAATTGAAATGTATATGCGAACCTCATCAAATTGGTTCACGTTTCACCAGTTTGACATCTCTGTTATAAATTAATATGTTATCTATTCGAATGTAAGCAATCTTTTTATTTTAATTTGTAACACTTTACTTATTTATAAATTTTTCTAATTTTTCATATTTTACTTATTAAAGTAAAATATGAAATTTTTTGCTTTGTTCTGATGCTTTCAGAGTATTGAAAATGGGCATTTTGAAAGTGTTTTCATTTTAAAAGTATTAGGTATTGTAAGCATTTCTTTTATGCTTCAAGTATGTGTATTTTTGAAGATCATTTTTGTTTATTAGGTTTTCAGTTGCTAGTGGGTTATTTGGAATAGGAGCTGTGGTAAGCATCGAGGTAACTCTTACAGCAATCTCAATATTTATTACTTCAGCTACTTGATGAGTAATAAACATTGAGATGATGATTTTTTTAAAATTGGGTGATGATGGTGATTTTCCTTAAATTTCTGTAACATTGTCTAGCTATTGCCTGCCATTTTGCTTTAAAGTAGGAAAAAAGAATTTATATACCATGGGTTTGAACTCTTTTCTCTAGACCTATAGCTACATATCCAGTGCATTATTTAAATGTGTGAAAGAATAGCTTATTTTTCATGTGCTAAAGATATGGTTACCAAAAGCAAGCAAGTACTTATTGATAGATCATCATCATTTTTGTGGTTTACCACAGTTTCTGATGCCAAATAGCCCCTAAATATGTATTTTGTTGCACAGTTATATTCTAATTTATTTTTATTAAACAGGTACATTTTGCATTTATATGATGTTACCCATGAAGGAATATGGGAAAGAAGAGGTGTTTACAATTATTATTGTGAATTTGTATTTGAGTTAACAAGTTATATAGTTGATTTTCTTCATCATTTACATATGCTCGTGAGTAGTGTTATGTATATCATTTTGTAAATAATTTGACTAAAATTTATTTTTACTATAATAATTAATAAACTATAAGTCATAAGCTTTTCTTTGCATTAATATATATATCATTCTATGATTGGAAATTTTTTCTTTTTTTGAAAAAAAAAAAAATTCTATTTTTTTTTTTTCAAAAGAGAGAATTTATTGGAAAATGTAGAATTTTGCTAAAGAAAATTATGTGTATCATTTAGCCATATATAAGTGCTAAATTAACTGTTTAACTGGCTGTTACTTTTCTTCCATTGCTTAAAAACATGTTTGATTTTTTTATCACGATTTAATTTTTCAATTATTTTAAATTTAGGGATTTTCTCATTTATTATTCTGTATTTTATTTTCTTAACAAAACAACAAATGTTTGGTTTTTTATCACTAAAAATATTAAAAAACAAAAATTCTTTTTTTAGTTGTGGGGTAATATTTTCTTATCCATGGCAAGTCTTGTAATTTGTATGCAGCTTAGATGCTTGTTTAACGAAATCCAGCGCAAGCTGATACGGCATAAAAATTATTTGAGAGTATCCAAGCATATGGAAAACAAGTGAGTTGTGTACTTCACTTAAAAGTTGTAATAGCTATTATTTAATGTTATACCTCATTTTAGTATGTAAATTGCTTGGATTAAAAATTGAATAATACCTTTGGGTATTTTATGCTTGTGTGAATTTCCTGAAAGGAATTTATTAAATTTTTGATTTTGATATCATGATTAGAGTAAGTTTTGATGTACTTTTTATTTATTGGTGGAGGAGTTAAAGCAACACGTATCAGCATAATATTCATAAATTTGCAGAACTAGTTTCGAAGGTTTAAATACAGAAATTTCCAAAGCAGTCCTGTATATTTATGAATATTATACTGATATTTATTGCTTTAACTCTTCTGGTAATCTTAATTTGGCAATTCAAAGTGGTATTTATTATTAACTGAATTTGTCTGTAGACATTTTTTGCCCACCTGCGGCCGAGCGGTAAAGTCGCTGAACACTGGTAGTTCGGTCCGAGATTCGAATCCCACGAACGGACTGTCTGCATGGGTGTTTTCGTGGTTTTTCCCCATGTGTACCATGTATACCAGCCAGTTTCCCTTATCAAGTCCTCCATGAAGGCATCCCTCCCCTTAGGCAGATAGCCCTCGAGGCTTTGCCGTAATTAAATAACCTAACTGTTGACGTTTTATCCGTTTTGATCAAATTTTCACAAATGATGCTTTTTGTAGATAATAACACTCCACCTTTTTTATACCTAATTGTTAAATTATAGTTAATTTTTGTCATTAAAAAATGTCGATTTAGAAAATATTACGTACATTGAACCTTTCGAGGCAATCACTTCACCTAAGATCACCTACCTCTGATATCTGTGATAATCTATCATCATCACAAATAATAACTCTCTATATGTCTTATGTCAAATTATTAAATTATTATGAATTTTTTAATTAGAAAATTTTAATTTGAAAATATTATGTACAGTGAACGAGGCATGTTCATCTTCAAAGACATTCCATAGTCGTCGGATAATCAGAGAATACCATATTAACTTCCCAATAATTTATTAACAATTTATTAACACTTATGTTTATCACTTAGAGTTTTATGTACTTTTTTAGTTCAGATACGCTAAAATATAAATACTGAAATGATTTTTCTGTACAGTTACATCATGTATAGTAGCGTTGTATGTTCTTTCACGAGAATTGTTGCATCTTGTGGATAATATGAAGTCAAAGCTTTTTCATTTAATCAGTTAAGATGATTTTTTACTGTAATATATAATTTATTTCTTTTAGTTATCCTCTTGCCACTAAAGAAGAACTGGAAGCTAACAGTGATGACTGTGCTATTTGCTGGGATCGTATGGAAACAGCTAGGAAGCTACCTTGTGGTCATATGTTTCATACGTTAGTGCTATTTTAATCAATAAAGTATTAAAGTACTTTTTAAATTTCTATTTCTTTATATATATTTTAAATTTGTGTAATTTAAAGCACAAAAATTGCCTTTTTTATTATAAATGCAGTGCTTTTTAAAAGTATCATTTAAAGCATATTAAGCATTATAATGGGAAAATTAAATTTTCTTTCTTCAAAATAAACACTCAGCAAAATAACCTTTAAAATGTAATCTTTTAAATCTCATATAAAAAGAATTACCAGCATAACATTATCTTATTATTACATTATATTATCCCAATACACTTCAGAAGATAACTGCACAGCTTTCTTTTTTACTGTCTACCAACAGTGGTATAATCCAGATTCAAACTTTTTTTGGGGGGGGGAGAGGGGCAAGAGAGCAAACCTCAGAGTGAGGGGAGAAAAGTTATTACAGTTTTTGATTTTTTACAGCCTCTCCCTCTGGTCCCAATGCTATCCTAACGAGAAAACAGCAGTAAGTTTCCTAGAATGTCCTCTTCTGCATAACGGTTAAAGAAGTGATGAATTTGAGTCAGTGCAAGGTTTTAGGTCGAGGAACGAAAAACACCTAATGGAGTATCTGGTTCACTTAAGTTTGAAACCTTATAGGTTAGTTAGTCAGTGAGCATTGAGTCATAATAGCATATAATTTATATATTTTCTTTTCGGCAGATTTGCTGTCGGGGTGTTTGGAAATCCAAACTTGATCTCCAGGTTTAAATTGATATCCAGGGCTTTAACTTGTATCAGCATATTTTTGTAGATACTCTTGTTTCTATTTAGCCATTTCCTTTATCTGGTTGACTGTGGTGGCAAATCTGTTCAAATGTGGGTTACTTTCTGCTATAAAATTATTATTGGAGATAACATGCCCAAGATCATGTGTAATGTTGTACGGTGTATGTAATTCTTCCAAATTGGAGAAATGCAGCAGTTTGGCCTGTGGATTCGCATCTGTGAGCATTTATTGTAGAATGAAATCTCAGAAACGTTTTTGCCTAAGAAGTATGTTTATCACCTGCAAGTATGGCTAATCTAGGTCTCAGATACCTATTCTTTCATTGTACAAGATTTGATTGAGGGTTTGCATTGGAGGAAATACTTGGTCAATGTTAAAAAGAGAAAACACTTGCAGCATGATAGTGCTAGTGAACTGATCACTGATTAACTTTCAAGGCAATCCATATCCTAAGAAAATATCTTTGATTAATATAATGGCACATTTGTTTTCAGTATCGATGGGTAAAGCGAAAAGCTCTACCCATTTCATGTTGCAATCTTCAGCAATAAAAAATCCATTTTTTCATGTTGATGCTTTCAGGTAGTGGGTCAAATAAATCAGTAGCATTTTGAAACATTGACCATTTATTGGTGTTTGGAGTAACCTGGATGGTTTTTGGTTTGAAAGTTTGTCATAGTTACAGTCATTGTAGTTTCTTATGGAATCTGCAGTGTATTTGCACATTCCTGTGAAACAATGCCTTTTGGAAATTCTGTGGTGTGTCCCTTCAGTACCATAATATCCTGCTGTAGGAGCATAGCATCTAATATTGTGTAAGACTACTTTCTCACTCATGTACTGGTACTACTAGTTGAGTTTCTTTTGATTCAGTGTCTGGGGAATAGCGATACGGAATTCTTGTTCATTATATAACCTCATCTGATCCAGTTAGGGAAATATTCATCTTTTACTTCACTTTCAAAAGATTCTATGATCTTTTTAAGATGTGTATTCGTCAGCTGTTCTCCATAGATTTCTACTGCATTCTGGTTGGTGTATCAGTAGATATCATACAAACTTTGCATGATTTTCTTTCATGTGGGATATGATAACATATTGGCTGTAAAATTAGCTCTTTCAGGGATGTATTCCATCTTCAAATTAAAATAAATTTCCTTGTAATAGCACCCAAAGTATAATTAAAAGTATCATAAGTATAATTAAATAATATAAGGTTTTGTTGCATCATTTTCTGTAAAGTGGGAGGGCTAGTGAGAAATTGTTTTAATGTTTGGAAAGAGTTTTGTTTATCTGGTCTTCTTGTCCAGCTTATGTTTTTCTTAGATTACTTAGAATTAATTTTTAAAAATTTCGGTTTGAATCTTTTACACCAGGAAAGAGTCTGCAAGAAAGACTGTGCTTGTTTCCCATTTATTTAGAGCAGGCACCTTCTGTATAATTTTTTTTTTTTGGATCAACCTCTCTTCTTTCACCAGTAATCCATTGACCAAAAAAATTCACTTTGCTGCAAGCAAAACTTTCTCGCAACTTGCATTAAATTTAAATTGTAGTAGTCTCTCGAAAACTGCTTCTAGATCAGCTACGTCTTTTTTGAAAGTCTGTGGTAGTATTATAATATCTAAGTAAGAGAGAACAACCATATCTTTCAGGACACATCAGAATTTATAAATTAATCTCTGAAAAGCAACTGGGGTAGTTTTCAATGTGAAAAGCATTTGAACGAAACGGAAGGTTCCCGAGCACCAAAAAAATGCTATTTTGTCTCTGTCTGTAAGGCAAATGCTGACTTGATGGTACCCAGACCACAAATCAGTGGTTGTCAAATAGCATGTTTAGCAGCATGCAGCAAGTCATCCATCCTAGGTAATGGATATGAATCTGACATCATAACAGCATTTAGTTCCCAGTAATCGATGCAAAACTGGGCTTTTCTATATGGTTTTGGGCGCAAGAACTACAGGTGCGGCATAGGGAGACTCGTATTCTTCTATTATTTTCCTTCCAGCAGATCATCGAGCTCCTTCTTTATAATGTGCTTCTTGGCTGGAGACATCAGGTGCAGTGGCATTGAAACTGGAGGATTATTTCTCTTATTTATATAGTGTTCAGTATCGGGAATTGTTTCTTCCTTAAATGGAGTACAGTCTTGTATTTTTTTAGCGAGTTTCCCTTTTGGTTTTCAGTGAAATGTCTTCCTTCATTTTCTGTTAATCGAAATGTGTGAAATTCTGCATTAGTTTTTGGTGCTTAGGTGGTTTGAAATCATCATCACTAAAGCTAAATTTCTGTTTAAGTCATTATGTAATGCCAACTATTATTTGGAAGGTCTAAACAGTTCCGGCACTATGTAAAAAAAGTCAGTTCTTAAAAGCATTGGCTTGTCTTTTCCTGTATTTAGCCAAAATAAAGTTATTCAGAAAGATCATTCTTCAATTTCTATTTGGGTAATATCAATTTCTGATATTGAAATATTTCATCTGCGAGGAGCATAAAATTGCATATTTCAGAGCAAACTTGCAAATTTCGCTCTGATTCTGAGATAGTTTGTAACAATGATCTCCAGGTATCATTTCCCTGAAGAACTGTGATGGAGAACTATTGGGAGACTAGAGGCAGGACAAAGTCAGGCAGAAGTGGCCATATTTCTAAATGTGAGTCTTTCTGTGGCTCATAGACTTTGGCAACAATTTATAACCACATGTTGAGCCAAGGACGGCTAACCACTACGACGAGCACTGATGACCGATTTCGTTGTTATGCCTATCCTTGCTTGCTGCAACCACTGGAAGGTTGGTGTCAGCATCATCCAACTGTAGAGATCTTCGCGAAGGAGGTCTATATGCAAGGCGACCAGCCATTTGCATGCTGCTCGCATCACGTCATAGAAGGGATGATAAAGTGACATAAAGGTTCTTTATTAAGGGTGAGTGATTTCAGAGTGCACAAGTTTCATATCTGTGGTGAAACCCTGTGCCTTTGTTAACGATTCCGGTTGCAGCCTCGTGGGTCACTCCAGTGGATAAAGAGGTAAAAGAAGTCTTTTCATCAGGGTCATGAGATGGTCACTTTATTATTGTATATGAGGTGGTTTCCTGAGAAGAGAGAACAATTTTTCCTGTATAGAGCTATGGGCATGTTGGCCTGCTAAGAATGATCGTTCCTCGTGTATAATGCGTTAGAACATATTTCCCGTAACAAAATTCTGAAATTACAGGACTAAATATATCCAAGTCCCATACTGTCAAGATATGCAACTGTTAAGGTTTTCATGTTATTAAAATTCATGTTATTTTTAAAACTTGAGTTAGAAGTTCATTTCAACCTTGTGTCACAATCCAGAATTTGCGTAGCAGTTTCGGCTACTACACCACAAAGGGAACATTTTTGAGTTGGGCACATCAACATGTCCACCGGACAATCGATCGATAGAGGGCTGTTCATTTTGTGGATGAGTCCAGGTTTAGCCTCCAAATTTATAGTAGGCATTATTTGATTTGGAGAGAACCTAAAACGTCCATCAAACATCTGTGAAAGAGATGCATACAGAGGAGGCTGCGTCTATGTTTGGGGTGATATCTCTTTAGGTAGATGCACAGAATGTCTTCCTTGTGGAACCATGAATGCTCAGGCCTGTAGAGATGACATCCTTGATGCTTGTGTATGCCCTTATGCTGGAACAGTAGGCGATAATTTCTTGCTCCATGATGACAGTGCCAGACTGCAGGGGGGCTCACATCATGGATGATTATCTTCAGCAACAAACAATTCAGTGCTTGGAGTGGTCAGCTCGATCTCTGGATCTGAATCCTACTGAGCATATTTAAGATGCTTTAGAAAGAGATGTGGTTGCTGTCAGTCCACCTCTTCAGCCCCTTGCCATGCTTGCAACTGCTTTGGAAGAGCAATGGCTTTTACTTCCTACAGAACTGATATACAGCATAATTGTCAGCATTGCACATCACTTGGATCAGCAAAGTGGAGGAATAAGAAACAACATGATACAATTTGTTATCACGTCATCTTACAGACCTATAAGGAATAATAATCTAATATCATTTTGAATACGATTGCTAAACAACATATACAGCAGACACACGTGCACGCATATGCCCTCCCACACACACAAAAAAAGATTAACTGTCAAAAGGTGCCAACAGATTGTGTAAGGCAACCAATTGTCTACAGTAAATCCGGACATTGCAGGGTTAAGGTATAATAATAAAGCATATGACAGTATTCAAATATTTTAGTAATGATTAAATTTTTTTTTTTTTTTTTTTTTAGTTCTTGCTTACATTCGTGGTTAGAACAAGTTTCAAACTGTCCTACTTGCCGTGTTGCACTTGCTCAAAGAGATAACTCAGGTGCAGTCTCGGATGTAAATCGTAACAATATTCTTGGGCAGGATGCACAAGGCCGAAATCCTAACCCCACCACAAACCATTTCTTTCATTTTGATGGTAAGTATTATTTGAATTTAGGTCATGTGCTGATTTTCAATTTTTTATTATTTTTTTACACTTCAAATACTTGAATATTTAAAATGTTTATATTGGTTTTTGTAATTGATATTTTAATTACAGAATGACTTGTATTAATTTTTCAAGTATATATACCAATGAATTACGGTACTTACATATTAATGCAACATCTTAGTGCTATATGGTGACTTTTTACAGATGAAAAGGTAAAAGTTGCTTATTGGGTAAAAGTTGGTGATTTTCACATTTTTAAGAAAGATTCTCAAACTATGGATATTCATTTAAGTTGACAAATATTATCAATATATAAAAAGTCAACACAACAACACATTTTAGCAGTTTTAAATACAGATTTAATTGTTAAATTAAGATTTTGTGATGCATTAAGAAAATAAAATTAATCTCCATTAAATTTTTATAATTTTTTTGCAACATTATTTTTTCCAAGGGCAGAGCAATCTGTTTACGCTTAAAAAAAGCAGAGTATTGCTGAGACGTATCGCATGAACCTCAGCAATACCAGCTATCTACCAAATGCATTTGCTTGTTGTTGTTTCCTGTAGAGATTTTACAGATTTTGTGGCAAAATTTTGTCTTACTGCAGAAATTATAGCAAAGTTGCTTCCATTGCTGGCAAATTCTACAAGCACATATTTTAATAAAAGCTAAAATTATTGCGGTTTGTATATGAAAAACCATTGAAATTTGGAATACAATAAAAAGAATGCATATGAAAATGGCAACATTATTTGACTGAAGGATTGTTACAGAAATGGTTGCCTAAAGAGTGGTTATGCACATTCTGAAAATTTGTGTAACACGTAAGAATCTAAATTACTGTTATACTCTTGAATTTTCATTATATTTTAAAGGTATTTTACTGTAACAGTTTTACTTTTCTAAGTTTTGTTATAATGATGTTTTAACTTTTTATATTGAATAAAATTTATTTAAAAAAACATTTTGAAAGGTGAGGAAGGGAAAATAAAAACTGCCAGAAACAATTTTTCTGCTCTTCTTCCATTCAATTGAAAGCGGTTGCCAAATACATAATATATTTACATATCTTGTAAATATATTAATATTAAAAGCAGTTGCCAAATACATAATATATTTACATATCTGTATGCACTTACATGTTTTTTCTTGTCTGCCCTAAAGTGTTTTTTTTATTTGATTATTTTTTCTTTGTGTCCTAAAAATAGTGGCATGGTTATAATAAAACGTTTTGAAATACATCATCTCAGAAGTGTGGCTGTTATATGATTCTCACATAGCACAAGTGATACAGATGCTTATATAGTAGCAAAAATGAAAGTAAAACCTGTCTGTTGTATAATAAAGAAACCAAAGCTTTTATTAATGTATAATAATAAAACACTGTCTTCTGTTGAAAGATAAAGTAACTTGCAGGCATACCATTTCTTAATTTAACATAGCAGCATAGCATTCCTGTTCCGATTAATGCTTCCTTTCATTTCATGAACATGTCATCTACAACCTTTCCTTTATGCTTTCCATTTATTATGTTACAAATATATAAATGTGGGCTTTGAACAATGCGAAGATAATGAGTGCATTCATTTTGGCACTGACATCTCTTTATTAGGGGCTTATTATTCTGTGAATTACTCTTGACTAAAAATGATCTGAAAGTCATAACTTCTGTTACTGAAGAAAAATTCTCTAGCTCCTACATCATTATCAGACCCAAACCTTTTAACACACACACACACACACACACACACACACACTGGCATATGTATTTGTTTTTTTTTTTTCTACTGAAAAAAAAAAAAGGGGGCTATAGGTAACTATACTGAAAAATGTTTTTGTTTTCAGGTTCTCGCTATGTCAGCTGGTTTCCTAGTTTTTCTGTGGAAGTTAGTCATACAAGCTTGCTTGGAGGTAGACATCGAATTCCTATACATACATCTCAGTTAGATAATATGGTAAGTTTTTGCTTAATATAATGTAGTCAACACTTAACGTTTATTGTAGTTTAGTAAACAAAGTTGTCTGATTTGATCCCTAAAGTCCTTGAAATACCTAATCTTGTACAAAGTAAAGGAAGTTTTGTAATTGCAAAAAATTTCGGATATCATATTTCAATGAAAATATCCATTTTACAGGGTTGCCATGCTACCAGGAAAAGTCAGGGAATTTGAAAATTAACCATAAAAGGTCAGAGAATTTAAATATGTTGGTCAAAATATGAAAAGTCAGGTAATTTCATACAACAAAGTTTCCAGTAACCTCAAGAATCGAGACTCGCATGTGCGTGCGAAGTGCACATTGAATGAAAGAAAATACCTTTTTAGTCTCGCATGAAACAAAATTAGTTTAATCTGAGTATATGGTTATACACGGGATTTGGCGACATTATGAGGAGCAGTAAACCGGACATTTATAATGAGCAGTATAAACGTGTCATTTTGGTGTGGGTGAAGATTTTCAAAATTGTGCCAAGGCTTACCCTTTACTAGGATTTACAACAAAAATCTTTCAAAGCTTTTTTTCTTTTTAATAAATGCCTTATTTGTCAATTTACAGTAAAATAAAAGAATAGTAATCAGTCATCTAGGCTAACCATTTAATATGGTTGTTCGCCAAATATCGCGATATTCACCAAAAATTGTTAATTATTGTAATTGAATTTTTAATCAAGTCATGCACTTTATTTTAATGCTATTCGTATCATTTAATGTGGCTTCTTTATTATAAATTTATTTGTTATTAGTTAATAATACTTCCAAATTTCAGACAATTTTCTCTGGCATACTCCTGAAACTAGTTCTAGCAGTACAATGACATACCATCACAAAATTTAATGCACATATTTTTGCTTATGTATGCTGCTAAATAAGTATAAAATACCTGAATTTATTTTAAATTTATTTTAAAATATCATTAAATAGATTTCTTTTTTTCGTATAGCTGCAAAATGGCTGCAAAAAAAAGGAATGCAGATTGGGCAGATTCTAATCTCAGTCTTCAGTGGATAAAACAACTTCTATTATAGTTGTAATTGTAATGTTTTGGAGATTATATATACAAGTCATATGTAATTGGCAAATTTTTCTCTTTCAAGTTGTACCATAATTAATTTACCTCTCAGCACAGCCAACGCACACTACGCGGATAGACTGGAATTTTCTTAAAACACACCTGAAAAGTTGGGGAATTTTGTTCTCCTGTTATAGTGGCAACCCTGATTCTCACCGCTTTTAAATGCAATTTAACAATGCTTTTGCATGACATCTGTGTGTAGGGGCAGAACAAAGGACTCTTTCTCAAAATGAATTTTAAAATGGATTCAGAAGAGATTTTGTTTTGTGTGACATCTGTATGTACTTATGTACGTACATACGTATGTGTCTCGCTTAACTCAGAAATGAGTAGCCTCAGAATGTAGAAATTTTGTATAGGACTGCTATAACATGTAGTTGTGCACCTCCCTTTTCGGTTCAAATTGGCCACATCATAAATATATATATATATATATATATACACAGTGGTGGCCAAAATTGTGGACACTTTTGGAAATTTTTGTGTTTTTGAACTTTGTATGCTTATAGAAAATGTTACGTTTCGCAAAATGCAAACTTGTATGTATCATTTTAAAGAGATTTTATTACTGAATTCAATACAAAACACAAAATTCAATTATTTGCAATACAAAAAAAAAGTTATATGTACTTTAATATAAATAAAAAACACAGTTATGAAGTGGTTTGTAATGTCTAGCTTTCCTGGCCAATCACTGTTCTTGTTCTGAGAACCAATCAATGTTAGTAACTGCCAGTAGAAGCTGACATCATGTTTTACACTTGAAACAATTCATTATTTTGCTTTGTTCTGTAGAAGGAGGACCTGTTTTTTATATACTGCAATTACAAGTAGGAATTTTTGTAAAAATTTTTAATATTTAGTCAAAAAGCAATGACATCAAATAAAAGAGTAGATTGGACACCTAAAAAGAGATGTAATATTATTGTGTTACGAGAAAGTGGTCTTTCCTATGCTGAAATTGAGAGACAGGTGGGTGGTTCAGTGACTACATCTGGAGTCCGAAAGTTTTGTTTATCAGGAGACAAATTCAATAAAAAACAAAAAAGGAAAAGGCCGAAAAAGGTGCACCACATCTATTGATGACAGAAGAATAAAAAGACTATGTCTCCAAGATAGAAAAATGTCATCAGCGCCCATCAGAAGTGATCTGAATGATGCTGGTGTTTCTGTAAGTTCAAGAACAATCAGGAGAAGATTAACAGATGTTGGACTGAGAGGTGGAATTCCACGAAAAAAGCCATATCTTAATTTTCAGCAACGGGGAAAAAAAAAAAAAAAAAAAAGACTGCAGTGGGCAAAGGAACACATTAATTGGACAGATGATCAGTGGCCACAAGTTATATGGAGTGATGAACCTAAGATATCGTTATTCGGTAGTGATGGGCGAAAATATGTAAGACGTAGAATAGGAGAAGAGCTACATCTTGACTGCATTCAAGCAACTGTGAAGAAGCCAGTTAGTGTTATGATGTGGTCATGCATGTCAGCAGATGGTATTGGTCACCTTCATGTCATCGATGGGACACTGAATGCCAGAAAATACATTGACACTATTCTAGAACCAAAACTTCTACATTCCATCAGAGATCTCTTTCCCAACAATGCTTCGTTTATTTTTCAGCAGGATTCTGCTCCTTGCCACACGGCCAAAATATCGAAAGAGTGGTTTCGTACAAAAAGCATTAAATTGTTGTCATGGCCAGAAAACAGTCCTGACCTCAATCCTATCGAAAATTTGTGGCACCGTTTGAAAACTCTTGTCCGAATGAGGCACCCATCAAATAAAAGGGAACTAATTGAGGCTATAATTGTTTCCTGACATCATGTAATAACAAAAGAAGAGCTTAAAACTCTTGTCAGCTCAATGAAATGTCAATGTGAAGCTGTAATAAAAAATAAAGGGTACCCTGCTAAGTACTGATAACTCACTGCAATCATCACTATCTAATGTATATCGATAACTATTATTGTTTAACTCTTTTTTTGTATTGCAAATAATTGAATTTTGTGTTTTGTATTGAATTCAGTAATAAATTCTCTTTAAAATGATATACAAGTTTGCATTTTGTGAAACGTTGCTTTTTCTATAAGCATACAAAGTTCAAAAACATAAAAATTTCCAAAAGTTTCCACAATTTTGGCCACCACTGTATATATATATATATATTATTATAAGAAAAGTTGTGAGAACAATACATAAAAAAGACCAATTTTTGGTAAAAAAATTTTGCACAATGTGCTGTAAAATTAAGGAAATGAGAAGATAAATTGTTGTAAGCTCGCCAAAAAGTTACCAAAAGCTGTGGCTAAAAGAAAACTCCAACATAAGCATATTCAATAGTTATGAATAGTGTGAAAAGAAAAAAATTTTATATTTACAAGTTCGAATGAAAAAACTATATGTTAAATATTTTCGGAAATTTTAACACAGTATTAAAAAACAAATCAAATGAATGAGGTAATATATTAGCCTATATGCGAAATAAAAAGTAAATTATAAAACACAGTAAAAATACTAATCGATGGAACAAGTTAAAGGCAAAAAATACCCCACTCTGGCTCGGTGAGCTAAGTTTGTTTTATTCTTATATGTTCATAAACTGTGCATTTTTGCTTTAAAAGTGATTGAATTATGTTGTTCTTATGTTCCGGTTAAAGTTTTTATGCCTTTAGTTAATCTACATGCAAAAGTTGTAAAATTATCAACAATTTAAAAGTTGTTTAAGTGCAACTGAGCCTAATAGAGCAGCCATATTTGTTTACATTTGAAATTAAGCAGAATAGTGAATTAAGTCAGTTTCTGCACCTTCAGTATGTTTTTGCGGAGTGGGGACCAAAAGTGAACTTTCAGTTTTGTGCACTGAAAAATCTGCCTTCTTACCCACTGGCCAAATTGATTGTTTTTGAGCAGAAACACTTAATTTTAATTGTAAAGAAAATTAAATGTTTTAATTGTATTTGGTGTTATGTTTTCCTACATTTTTCAATTTTTAAAGAAGATGTTTTGATTTTTTACATATTTTTGCATTGCCGTGAAGTGAGAATTGAATTAATTGAATGAGAAATATATCTTTAATGAAATTCAAGGAAATAAGTGTAAATAAAATGCAGCAAAAAATTGTGTATGGTTTAATAGGTTGTACAAGGAAGTTGTCCACATCAAATTTTTTAATAAAGTATATCTGGTGTATATGCTGTAATTTTTGTTATATTTTTTCTGATGTTAGTGAGTTGAGGTGATATATTTGCTTTTGAAGCATTCTGTAATACTTAGAATGATGCAAAATTGAAGGGTATATGTAGTGCCTTATTCTTACTCTTTCGCATCAAAGTCGCCCAAAGCGCCCTAGCATTCAGACATCGGCTCGACGCCCGAAACGCCTGAATAATTTCCTACCCAGTGCTTTCCCCCATCACGTTACTGCATTACTCATTGCTTTCAGGTGTTGTTAAATCACACGTCAATCATTCTTTGTTGTCAATTTCCTTGTTTCCTTTGTTCCTTCCTTTCCTTTGCTTACTGTCAGTGTTTAGCTTTTGATGCCCGAAGTTGCAATCCCAGTGTCAAAGCGTCGAAGAAAGAAGTTCTCGCTTTACTTAAGTAAGGGTATTGTTAGCGCTGTAGTATTTAACTTGTCATGGGGGAAGGAAAAGCATTCCAGGAGAAATTCTTAGATACGGGCGTTTTCGATGTTTGGGAAATTGAGATTTTGTCCTCTCTCGATGCGAAAGAGTTAATATAATATCGCTCCAAAGTTTAAAAAAATTCAAAAAGTTTGTGGAAAATGCTTATAAAGCAGCTGTATTTGAAATGTTAGAAAAAAATGTTACTTTTACCACCTTCAAAACAACATCCATTTGAACACATATATTTGCTTCAATGCTCGACATTCTTCAAAGCATTGGTAGAATATCTCTTTTGGTATTTATCATGAACTGCTCCATATGAGAACATAGATCACATAGAACCATCTTGGTAACAGAGAACAGCGGTGTCAGAGGTAAGAACGTTTTGGAAATAAGGGATCAGATGAAAGAAATTCAACTTTCTCTGTTCAAATGCCTTTGGCTTTAAAATGCTGCATTACGAATGGTTGAAAAGTGTTTTGTATGCATTACAGCATAAATTACACTGGTCTGGTTGATTGTCACGTCACGTATTCTTTCTCTGCCAATGTCCTCTAACAGCCAAGTTCAGTTATTGCAAGTTTCGTGCATTTGATATGCCTTTTCTATGAACTTTTTAAACAGTGGAACATTATATATTTATCTGTTATAGGTTCACCAAGTGCTTCAAATGTTTCCTCATATGCCATATAATCTAGTTCTAGAAGATTTACTGATAACACGCTCAGTTGAACTTACTGTAGAAAATATATTAGAAGAGAGGCTTGTAGCTCCTACGGTAATTTTTATTTTAATTATTCAAATATAATGTATTGTTTTTAATTATCATTGTCAAAGTAATTATAAATTAGAGATCTAGAAAAATTCCAATAATTTAGTATTAGAAAAATTAAAAATATTTATGTATATGCTTTTCTGTGTGATACTTTTTGATAAGAACAAAATTCTCACTTTGTTACCTCCTTAAACATTACTTTTTTTAATAGTGAAACAGCATTTTTTGGATATTATTTAGTTGAAGATTTTATTTATGTTTTTCTTTTACAAAAGCAATGATGTCTATAGAGTCATATTATGAGGGCAAGTGTGAATATTGATTTCATTATATAATGTTTATCAATATTGCAGTATAGTGTAGTTTTAACCTTTTTTAAAACTGTAAAGTTTTAAGATTAGGATGTATTAAAAATTATTATTTGTTATTCAATATTTATCCAATTGACAATTTCTTTGAAGATGGTATTGAATTTTTATGCTTACCTCTACAGTATACTAGCTTAGTTGATCTTTTTTTTTTTTTTTTTTTTTTTAATTTTATTTAGACAACATTATTCCCAATCACGCCTCCTCAGCCTGTATCTATTAGGTCATTGCATGTGAGTGTGGTAAGTAAAAAGTTGCTAATAAAAAAATATTTTCAGTAAATTAATGATATATTAGCTGCTTGCAAAATTTAATTGGATTTTTAACTGTCCAGTAGATAGCCACATACTCTGATTGCAGTTATTGCTATCACCAGAATATTGTTATCGAATAACTGAAATCCTCTCCATTTGTATATGAAGATGCCAATAACACATTACTTAATCAATAATGCGGACAGTATGATTAAAATATTGGGTCATCTGGAAAGTTCTGCAATTTTTTTAGGATAACCACAAATGAAGCAATACTCAAAAAGATTTCAATGATCTAAACACAATTTTGTTTTCTATGACTTTTTGCTGTAATCGCTGGCAGCTGGAATATTTCTTTTTTTCTTTCTTTTCTTTTTCTTTTTTTTTTTTTTTTTTTTTTAATAAAAGTCATTTGGTTAGAAATTATCTGAGTGCTATCAGTCAGTTTGCAAAGAAATGAATTCTATTTCAGAAAGTTTTGAAGTGACCTGAAAAAAGGAAAATCCAAGGGGTAGTATCTAGTAAATATTTGGGGAAGGGATACAAAACATGTAAGCCATACTCAGCTTTCCAAATCTTTGTCTGATTTTCAACAAAATGTGGGGCCAAGCTTTGTCATGATGGAAGATAACAGCTTGACAAATGGTCATTTCTGGGCACTCTTCTTTGATTTTTGCTTTTAAAACTGACTGGTATTATAGGATCTAGTTTTGAAAACAGTGTTATAGTGTCTGATACACCTCTTCTCAAACATATCAACTGGAAAGTGTTATTAGCTCTCTCTGGTGACTGATTGCTATAGAGAATGTTTTAGTTAGGATTTGGATGGTAGAAAAGTAACTGCACGCTAGCCACAGGTATGCACGAATCTAAACCATAACTGTACGGTGCTAGAGCAGTGCATCTTGGGCCATTAAAAATTGACATATTAATATTAATTGGAAATAAGTCTGTAAATACTAGTTCTTTATATCTTTTATGGGAAAAATAAACTTGATATCTATGGAGAAGTTTCAAAGCACCTCCTTTCTTTGTTAAATAAAAGAAATGAACTAGAGACTACAAGCATTTTTCTGAATTTATTGTCTGATTTGATGGCAGCAATCATAATATACAATTCCTTTGTAGTGCCACCATATGCAAAACATCCTTTTTTTTTTTTTTTTTTTTTTTATATAAATGAAAGTGCTTTGTTTGCAGAATATGGTCATTCAGAGAGGACTAAATCTTCAAGACTAAAATTTTCATACTTCTCAAATCACCTTTGAATTGCATCATTAGAAACAGCACTTTTTTCATATATAGCACAAATTTTATGAATAGTCTGTCTAGTATTTTCTCCCTTTTTACTTCCTTGTACGAAGTAAAAAGGAAGTATTGTATATTGTAATCGCGGAAAGTTTCAGGCAGCACATTTCAATGAAAATATCCATTTTGACCGCTTTCAAATGCAATTTCACGATGTTTTTGTGTGATATTTGTACGTAAGGACAGAATAAAAGACTTTTCCTCCAAAAAAATTATAAAACTGCTTTAAAATGAATTCTGAAGAGAACTTTTCGTGGCATCTGTACGAACGTATGTACGTATCTCGCATAACTCAAAAACGAGTAGCCTCAGAATGTTGAAATTGTGTATATAGGACTGCTATAACATGTAGATGTGTACCTCGTATTTTGGTTGCAATCGGCCACGCCAAACGTATATAAATATATTTATAAATATATCCACTCTGTTACCCGACTCAGTGATCTCGGTTTCTTTACTCTTATATGTTTGTAAATTGTACATTTTTTTGTTTTAAAAATGATTGAATTATGTTGTTCTTAATTTCCGGTTAAGGTTTTTATGCCTTTAGTAAATCTGTATGCAATATTTTTAGAATTATCAGCAATGAATTGGACGCCGCGGCATGCAATGATTTGGAAGTTGATCTGTCAGCATTATCCTTATTTTCAGGGCAGATGTTTTTATTTTATTTGGCTTATAATTCCTTACTAAATGTAGAATTTCATCTCGATGTACTCCGTCTTTGATATGATTTAAATCAAATTCCTTGTCATTATAATTCGCTTCCGATAGTAAAGAGAGTGACATAGAGGTTATTGAAAATGAAACAATTTCGATTGACGAATTAGTTGGTATTCTCGACACAGCAATTATAGGACTTGAACAGCGGAACTGAAGAAATTATGTCTGTTTATAGAATGAAAGAGAAAGTATTATCACATAAAACAAAGCAACTTAAACAACTTACATTGAAAGAAATGTTTATAAAGTAAACAAATAAATATTAAGCTTTTTTTTTTTTGTAAATTTTGATACCCTTTAGATCATAATTGTTCTTTATTTCATAAATTACGGTTTCATATTTTTAATTTTATAATTTCTGCATGCCATCTTACCAGATTTAAACTGATGATCTATAATTCGGAAAAATCGATAATCCGGAATCGCCGAAGTCCCGACGAGTCCGGATTAACAACTTTTGACTGTACTTGAAAATAAATGGATAAATTCTGTAGCTGCAAATAAATCAAAGAGAGCTGTTTAAAGAATTGTTATTCAGAGGTAAGGGTGTTTGGAAAGACACTTTTGTTGACTATGCTGCAGTATGACTTTTGTGTTTAAGGACTTGATTTACTATTCAGATTTTGAAGAACTTTGGAGTGTTGTATAACTATTTCGAATTTTATGAAATGGCAATGCCACATTATAAAGTGGTTTTCACTTAATAATGGTACATTGGAAAACCTTCAGGAAAGCTTCAACAGCAGTGTGAACTGTTTATAATGCCATAAAAGTAAATGGAGGAGTGATGAATATTAATCTTAAATCCTGATATGTTACTATATGCCAGATCTGCTAATGGTGCATATCATCAAGCACTCTAAGACAAAAGGCTGTGTGATAGTGAAGATTTTAAAAAAAAAAATTAATAAATAAAAAAAAAATCAAGTACAGATTAAAATTTTTGAGTTTACCTCCGAAAAAATGTTTCTTCAGTTAACTTGCAAATTGTTGAATTAAAACAACAAATGCTCATTTTTTAACTGGCATTTTTTATATTAAATGTTTTTTTAAGTATTCAAATTGTCTTTTTTTGTCTTCGATTCTAATAAAAAAGTACATTTAATTTGTATTGTATATGCTTATATTAAAAACTCATGATCAAAAATTTGTTAACTAAAAAAAAAAAAAAAAAAAAAAAAAAAATGCTCTTTTGACTTTTCAGAATTTAGCAACTATCATAATATTACAGAGATGTTTGTTCAGCAAATATATATTATTTAATAGGATAGTTATAACTGATCCACTATTGCCATTTTGTAAACAATAACTTCCATTCCAAAATTTTATTTGTAATACTTTTTAAAATAATAAAGCTGTTATTTATGGCATAATTTTATCCCAATTAATGGTGGGAAAAAATCCAATGTTTAAAAGTTTATGTATAACATTGAAAAATCAATGAATTTCAATTCTGATTTGGTTTATTTTATAATCAGTTGTAAGTATTTAACAGGGTTCATAGCGGTCCTTATAAGTGCTTATAAGTCCTTATATTTGAAAATAAAATATAAAGGCCCTTATAGGTGCTTACTTTTTCTTTAAAGCCCTTATTTAGTGCTTATTTTTTGCTTTTAGTGCTTTTTTTTTAATGAACGCGCTATTTTTCCCCGTACCAAAGCCGAAACGAAATAAACAACTTTTCTTCTTAATATAGAATGTCAGATGGTGAATCATACTCCCGGAAATTGCTTTCCCCCTTTCTTTGCATTAACATAACCTTTGGTGTGCACGAAGAGTACAGACAGGTGCCCGCCGTTCTATTGGTCAAAGAATTGCGAAAGCAGTAGAAAATTTCGGTACATTCGGCATTCTTTTCCTCCCACCCAAATACTACACACGTTTGAATTTCTATCCAGATCTTAATAATTTGCATTCTCGTTCCACTTGATCAGTTCATATTTGTGTTTATTATGATCATTATGAGTATATGTGTGAATGTTTATAATAACATAGTTGCAGTAACTGCTGAAGTATAGTAAACTTCCAAAAATGGTTGTGCATTTTTAACACAGATTAGCTTTTTAGGAATAATATTCGGAATGGCTTAAATAAAGGGAAAGTAATCGAATAGTCAAAATATTTTCATTTTTTTTAATCCCAATACATTATATAGTACGGAAGATTGGGAGGTTCTCCCCTTCTCCGCAAAATCTCGAATATTGAAACTGTTACAAGTTCGCTGCAAAACAAGCAAAAGACTTTTTTTTTTTTTTTTTTTTTGTCACTTTCCAATCTGGATTGAATAGGACTAAAAGTTCTGCGGTCTACCAACCCAAGCGAAGAATGATTCTATTCCGGAAATTTAATGCCGTCTGTTGAAAATTAGAATGAAAAGCACCCCATTTACTCGTATTTAGTTCTTTATTCTCCCAATACCGGCAGCTGTTGATTCCGATTGCGTAATATCATTTAGGGAAGAATTACGGCACACGTATTGCGCAATAACATTTGCGATATTTTGCAGAGATAATTAATTTTGATGTTCTGTACGAGATTTGTTTATGAACACTTAAAAGAGTTTTACTGTGCTTGCTAAGCAGAATATTTTTCCGTTCCATTGGTTTATTTTTGTATGATGCACGTATCGAAATGTCAAAAGCATTTATTTAGCGGAAAAATCTAAAAAGCGGCTACAGTCTACCCCCCCCCTCCGCTCCTCATTTTCAAGTTTCACTGTCCGAATATTTGCCAGTTTCCAAGAATGCGAGTTAGTTAAGCTTTTACTGTTAATGGATGACTGCATGAAGCAAATTTCTGTCTTCTGATTTCAGAAAAGTTTCTCGTTTTTACTTAAATTACTTTGCTTGCAATATCTGTTAAGGGAAAACTGGTATACAATGAAAATTTAGAAAATGTTCAGAATTTAGATTTAAATTATTTAAATATTAATATGAGTGGAAAAATAAATTGTATTTATTATTAGGTTCCAAGCGAATACAATAAATATGCTTTATTATTATTATTTTTCTCTATTTTGAACTGAAATTTCATCATTAAATCTTGTAATATACACTGGTGTCCAAAAATTAAGGACGAGACGGTTTTTTCAATATAACTTTGTACAAAAGCTATCCAAATCAACACATTTAATACCGTAAGATCCCCAATACGTAAGGACATGAGTAATGTAAGCAACACTTACTAAAAGAGAAATCAGAGGGATAAAAAGAAGCTTTATTGAAAAAGTAGCATGGAGCACAATGCGACTGAAGGCCGAAACATCCCTGTGATGGGTGTCCAGCAAAAAACATCCGGTCTTTAATAGGGGCTATGATCTCCCCTGACTGCTAGGCAGGTTTCACAGCGTCTGCCCTTGCTGAGAATGAGGGTGTTGCTGCCCATTCGCCTTGTTGAGGCATTGCTGCCCATTCGTCTTGCAGCGCCAATCGAAGCTCCGGAATCACTACTGGTGGTAAGGTACGAGCTGCCAAGCATCTGCCTAGAAAATCCCATACATGCTCGATGGGATTGAGATCCGGAGATCGTGCCGGCCAATCCATACGTTCAATATCCTCACTCTCTAAGAGCTGTTCGGCAGCTACTGTGCGATGACATGGTGCATTGTCGTCCATGAAAAGGAACTACGGACCCATAGCACCTCTAATAAGACACACATATGGAAGAAGAATTACAATAATCTCATTACAATAATGGGTCCCGTTGACTGAACCTGCGTCGAAGATGTGAAGGTCTATACCACTACCAAGCATGATGCCTCCCCAAATGAGAACACCGCCACCTCCATACCTGTCCCTTTCAATGATGTTCGAGGGATGATTGTGGCTTTCCCGCTCTCTCCAGATGAGTAAGCGATGAGAATCGCTACTCAGACTGAATCTGCTCTCATCTGTAAAGAGTACTCGTTCCCATTCATTGTCTTTCCAATTCCAGTGTTCCCGGCACCACAGAGAACGCCTTCTCCGATGGGCAGGCGTTAGAGGTACACACCGTACAGGGCGTCGTGCAAACAGACCACCACCGTGCAGTCTTCTGGCCACGGTAAAACACGATATTGGTCGACCCAGTCGCCTGTGTCGTGTGTCTAGCGATTTCTCCCGCTGTCTGCCGCCTGTTTCTTCTGGCCTGTAAGGCAATATACCGGTCATCTGCAGGTGTGGTTCCTTGTGGACGACCACTACTAAACCCCCGGATAGCTGTTCCTGTACTTTGAAATTGTCTCCAAAATCCAGTTCAGCTACTATACCAGTAACTGAACACTGGTAGTTCAACTTGGGTACTAATCCCAGCAAAAGGGTTGGCTGCATGGATTTTTTTGTCTTTCCACAAGTATAATGTGGATACTAGCCTGTTTTCCTTCACAAAAGCATCCCTACCTTAAAGCCCTTAGATGCTTCACCATAATCAAATAAATCAAATCAGTGATATGCTATTGAGTAAATATGTATGAATTTTTTCGGTTCATCAATATTGGTGCAAACTAATTTGCTGATCCTGATTAAACATTCCTTCGGAAAGTACTCTTTAGAGGCCTAGTTCTTTAAAGAGAGCCTACATGAACTATTGTCATAATCGATTAATGAAGCATCGCAGCTTTCAAATTTTATTGTATTCTTATGTCAGTTTCTATTAGGCATTTTCTTTTTCATTTCTTTTTTATTATCTATGAGTTTAATTCAGTATCTTCACTAAAATTTTACTCCAAATCCGTTCTGTATCGTGCAGTGTCTTCATGTAAATTTTACCCATGCGAAAACAATTAATTTCATTCCTCTTCTTATCTTTTTAAAATCAGGGGAGTGGAAACCACAGTTTTCCTAACGTATCATCTCCAGATAGAGAGTCCAGTGATAACATCACTGAAGAGTCCACAAATTCCTCACTTTCAGGTGCAACATCTACTTCAAGTTCTGCAGAAGTGTAAGTACAATAGATTTGACATGATTGTCCATTTTTTTGTAGCACATTTAGAAAGAATTATCTTTTACTGTAATTAATGGTTATCTATGTATCTATCTAAATGCTTGCATAAGTATGCATAAAACTACAATTTTCAGAACAAAGGAGCATTAGCTGGGAAGGGCTATTAGTCTCATTTTTTTAAAAAGAGATTTTGTGTTAAATCACTATAAAAGTCTGAATTGCTTTTTAAATTGGTGCCGCCAAATATCACTCTGTAGTATATTTAATTAAAGAAATGAAATAATGAAGAATTTGCATGAATGAATGTATGTTTTTCAAAGTACAAGTATGACTTCCATGTCAGTTTTGATAAAAAATATTCTAGCGATGGAGTCGTAAAATCTCGCATTCCTCTTCTTCTGTTATCATCCTTTTGGAAAGAATTACTTGAACCATGAATTTCTTGAACTGTAATAGATTTTAACTGCTCGTATTCCTTAAAAAAACCTATAAGCACAAATTCTATGGCTTATACTAGCTTTAACCCTAACTCCTCTATAAGGTACATAACATCCAACTTCCGGAGCCATGTTTCTGGCTGTTGCTGCCAAAGAATATCAGAAAGTCATAAATTATAAAGCTAATATCTTGTAATATATTTAATACACATTTCCTAGTGGTTAATTCACATGTTTTGGAGGATCCTCCCTCTTAAACTTCTTAACTTCCTTCAGTGATTTCATTTTCTATGTAAAGCTGTGTATTTGGGAGTTAATACGTTGTGGAAAAACAATGTTACCTAGAGCCACTAAATTTTGAATAACGTAGTTCTCTGCTCGAATATGGACACCTAGAGCCCGAGTTTTGAATTTCGAATTTATTTTAATATGTATTTCCTACTTTGTAAAACTTTAACGAATTTTTGATAAACTCGATGATTTCAAAGCAAGCAGCGGCAATTCTGTACAGGAAGAAACATTTTTATCTCCAGCACATGAGACTGTTTATCAGAAATTCTAAAGATAACTGTTTTATAAATAATTTATTGTGTATTTCAAATTTTGTAAATGAGCAAGTTTTTGATTAACAAACTCAATGATTTCAAAGCAAGCAATGGCAACATTGTATGGGGGGGGATTATGCAAGACTGTTTATTAGAAATTCTAAAAGTAAGCTGTTTTTAAAAATTTTAGGTCAAAGGAACATTAGCTCAAATGCTCTCGAAACATGTATGTGTATGGAAATGAAAAAAAAAAAAAAAAAAATGCCTCTTTCTGCATAATTTTTAAAAATTTTTCTTATTTGTTATTAACCAATTGAAAGTTCTAGTTCTGATTGGCATAAAAAATGAGGATTGGTTGAATTTACACTGGGAGTTTCAAAAAGGAAGACAAGAAGTGATTAATGATACATTGTAGTTTTTTGTGAGGAGACTGCAGCTGTCGTAATATTCCTAGATATAATTTTTGATGACTTAAAAAGATTTTTTTTAAAGTTTTTAAAAGTCTTTTTTTTGGCAAAATTTAAGCTTGTAGTATTTTTCAAAATTTCATAACCCAAAAATTAACTGTTCCAAAGAGGTAATTCAGGCATAGTCAATATGTTGGAAATCAAGATGAAAATGTTGCTGTAGCCATTCAAAAAATTTTAAAAGTATTTGAAATTGTATAAAATAATTGGCAGCAATTTCCTTTTTTTTACTGTTTTTTAATTGGTAATTCCTTCGTTCAGAATTGACTTTAGTATTCTAGTTGTTTTAAATTTTTAATTCTTAATAGTGTTTAGTTAAAGAATTTATTTCCGTTTTGTCTTTTGTAGTTTTTGGGCATCTGAGCTTAAAATAAGCTTTTGATTGATACTAATTAAAATTGTTTATTGTATTACTTTGAAGATATACCTTATATTTTTAAGATGCAAAATTAGAGCATGGCCTGAATTTAGAGTTTTGGAGCTTTTGGAGTTCAAGCTCCAAAACAGAAAATTGAAACTACTAGAATAAGAAATAAAGTTACCATTATATCTTTAGAATTTGTACTGTCATTGCCAATTTTGAAAGGACAATCTTTTGCCTTTTATTAAAAGTAGTGTAATGATATGCAGCAATGTAGACATGAAAAATTAAGGGGGACCCTTCTTAATCTGTTAACTGGGTTGACACAGATGACCGAGAGATGAGAGTATTTATTTTTTTTACTAATTTTGCAAGGAATAATAGGAAAACCTTCTTATCAGCTTTATTTTACAAAGCAAGAAAGTCTGGAGACTCCTTTTTTTATAAAACTATGTCAGAAAATAGATTCCAACTGTTAGTAAAATATTTACATTTTAGTGATAACAATGCTTTTGATCTAAAAGTGTGCAACAAAAAACCTACAAAATCGATTCCATTTTGAATTATTTGAGAAACAAATTCAAGGTGTTATACGTACCAGTTAAGGAAATGATGTAGATGTAGATGAGTCGCTTTTGCTATGGAAAGGAAGACTGTCTTGGAAACAGTACATTCCATCGAAAAGAAGTCGATTTGGTGTTAAATTGTATAAGGTATGTGAAAGTAAATTCGGATACATAAGTGCTTTCATTATATATACAGGTAAAGACACGCAGTATGGTTCGAACTATCCAGAAGAACAGGGACCAAATTGTATTGTTCTTGAATTGTGCCATGATGTTCTTCAGTATTGTATCTTGACTTGTTGGATAAGGGATATACGCTATATCTCTATAATTGGTATACTTGTACTGATCTAGCTGAGAAGATGTGCAGAAGAAAAACCGATGTTGTAGGAACAATGTGAAAAAATAGAAAGGGAATACCATCTGATATGAAAAATTGTGTTTTGAAAAAAGATGAACATATTGCTAGGTACAGAGACAAAATAATGATTATGAAGTGGAAAGACAAAAAGGATTGTAATTATATTGAGTACTATCCACGACAATAAATTTGTAGAAATAGAAAAACGAAGGAAAACGATATCAAAACCGGAAGTTATCGCTGACTACAACAAAAATATGGGAGGAGTTGATCTTGCTGATGGACAAATGAAAACTTATGAAATCGCTAGAAACCAAGTAAAAAAGTATTACTGTAAGATATTTTTACATGCACTAGACATGTGTGTGTTTGAATGCATATCTTTTATACAAGAAAGATGGTGGACACCTAGATAGGCTTCATTTCCTTTTATCAAAACTGTAGAAAAAGGTGTTGAAAAATATAGAGACGGATCGCAGTTGCCATCTACTAGTACAGGACGATCATCTTGACACCACAACCATCTCGACTCTTTGAAAGACATTTCGCAGACTATATACAGTCAAAAGTCGTTAATTCGGACACCCATAATCCGGACCTCAAAGCTAAAAACTTTCTGTGCATGCCCCGAATGTGTGCCTATGTGCATGACACATGCGCATAGGCATTTACGCATGCGCATAAGACCTTTACGACTGCGCATATGCGTGTGCGCAAGCGCAGAATACGTTTTCGCGTGCGCGTTTAATGTATAACGGACGGTATAAGCTAAAATTATTTAATTATCTATTTCAGTTAATGTTGATGATTGATTGTTCCTTAATCTCTGAATTGGATCCCGCTTATTATTTTTAGCAGACTGTAAGAGCAATTTTATAAAAGTAAACTTGAACTTTCGATTATGTCAAATAGAATTTCCAATGCTGGAGCTCCCAAAGGATCTACAAAACGAAAGTATGTTTCGATGTCCATCAAACAAAAAGTGGAATTGCTGCAAAAAATGGATAAAGACATGAAGAAGGTGACAGAGAGGTTAGTGAAAACGAAAAAATTTTGATTGACAAGTTAGTCGGTATTCTCAGCACAGCAATTTCGGGACTTGAACAGCCGAACTTTGTAACTGAACAAGAAATTGTCTTTTTATAGAATTAAAGAGAAAGTATTATGACACAAAACGAAGCAACTTAAACAACTTACATTGAGAGAAATGTTTAATAAAGTAAACAAATAAATATTAAGCTTTTTTTTTTTTTTTTTTGTAAATTTTGATACCCTTTAGATCATAATTGTTCTTTATTTCATAAATTATAGTATTTTTAATTTTAGAATTTCTGCATGGCATCTTACGAGATTTAAACTGATGATCTATAATCCGGAATCGCCGAAGTCCCGACGAGTCCGAATTAAAGACTTTTGACTGTAATTAATCAAAAATTAATGGTTGTTCTGTCCGGGAATGTGCAATATGCTTATGCAAAGGACTATGTAACTAGTAAAAAATGTTTAACAAACAAAACAAAAAATAAAATTAAACAAAACAAAATAAACTTGATTTTTCAAATTTTTTTAAATTAGGAAACAGAAAATCTTTCCATAACTTTTGACTGTGCCATCCAACTCTTCAAGAGTAAATGCAACGAGGAGATGCAAATTATGCTATTCCAAAAGTCTTAGAAAAGAACCGAGATTTTTTTATCCCGACTGCAGTGTTGCTTTGTGTATGCCGCATTGCTTTAGGGAATATCATACGAAATAATTGTTTAAATTCGTTCAATTAATTTGTTTTTCCGCATTAAAATGTTTAATTTAATATTTAATATAATTAATATTTTAAAATGATTTTCTTTTATTTATTCCTTGCGATGTGCTGAAATTATTGCAAAGGAAAAAGTCTCCATTGTGAAACGATTTTACTGAAAGCTTATTCCCCAGTTAACAGGTTAAGTGAATATATTTGGTTATTTGAAATAAATAATTTATAGTGTTGGTTGTTACATCTGATACAAAAGATTTTTTGAAACTTGGTTAGCAAATTTCAATGGAGAAAAAAAGCAAATTGCATTCTCAAAGACATTTATTGTTATTTATTGCACCTAAATGCAATTTAAAATCTTCTCTGTAAATATTAATATTAAAAAAATATGCAGGTTCTCTCTTTAGAAGTGAGTTTTTAATCAAAAGAAAATCATCTTGTCTTTTAAGTTCTATTTTATGTCATGTCATATAGGTCATACTTTTCCCAACTTTAGAATAATTTTTT